GCCAGCCGGGCCGGGGATCACGAGGGCCCCAGGGGAAGTGGCGCCGGGCCAGCTCGGCCGGAGGTTGCACAAGCCCATCCGGGACGGGGCAGAACTGGGATGGCCGGGGGGCAGCCGGGGCACTCTGCTCTCGCAGGCCCAACGATGCGGCGGTGAACATCAGGGGCATGTTGCCGCTGTTAGGGCAAGTAAAGTCACGGAGTCACAGGATCATCTGGGTTGGAAAAGACCCTGAAGCTCCTCCAGCCCAACCATGACCCTCACCCTGACCGTTCCCAACTCCCCCAGATCCCTCAGCGCTGGCTCAGCCCGACTCTTCAACCCCCCCAGGGATCCCGGGGACTCCCCCCTGCCCTGGGCAGCCCATTCCAACGCCCAACAGCCCCTTCTGCACAGAAATCCTTCCTCAGAGCCAGCCTGACCCTGCCCTGGGCAGCTTGAGGCCATTCCCTCTGGGCCTGGTGCTGGTTCCTTGGCTCAAGAGACTCATCCCCCCTCTCTGCACCCTCCTGGCAGTGAGTTGCAGAGGGCCAGGAGGTCTCCCCTCAGCCTCCTCCAGACTAAACCCCCCCAGTTCCCTCAGCTGCTCCCCAGCAGACCTATGCTCCAGACCCTGCCCCAGCTCCGTTGCCCTTCTCTGGCCACGCTTGAGTCATTAAATGGCCTTTTTGGGGTGAGGGGCCCAAAACTGAACCCACTCATTGAGGGGTGGCCTCACCAGTGCCGAGCACAGGGCTCGGATCCCTTCCCTGTCCCTGCTGGCCACGCTATTGCTGATACAAGCCAGGATGCCATTGGCCTTCTTGGCCACCTGGGCACACTGCTGGCAGACTCATTAAACCAAAACTCGTTATCTTTCAAGAGACAGGAGGACCATGTGGAAAGGATCTGGAAATGGCAAATGGAGAGGATGGAGAGTGTCCATGGAGTGACTGGTTGCCATTCCCAAAGAACTCTGAAGTGACTGGGCAGGGAGTGTGACACAAAGCCACAGGGGATGAAGCAGCTCTGGACTCAGGACTTGGGGGGTCCCAATGACAGGATCCCAGACTCAGGGCAGACAAATTCCCATCAGGCTACCTTCTCCCCAAGCCAATGGTCCTGGGCACCAGGTGCCCGTAGTGCCAGGAGTAACAGGGACCACGACTTCAGCATGAGGGGAACCATGGACCATTTGGAGAAGAAGCTGTGAGAAAGACTCTTGCTCCCTTTCTCTCCCCTGGGGCTGCAGGAGTGGCTGTGATGGGGGCTGACCAAGGAAGAGCAAGGCCACCAGGGATGTGTCTCTCAAGTGCCTTCAGCTGCAGCATGGAAGGGTGCAGGCAGGTCTCCGGAATGGCGGAGGGAAGTAGTAGTGGCTGAGAGCGGTCATGGATCAACTCCTCTGGGTGCCCAGGGCAGAGTTGAGCCATGCCATAGGGTCAGAGGGACTAAGCAGGGCTGAGGGATGTGCCTCTACCTGCTGCCTTTCTCTTATAAGGGATGAGGAAGAGGATGGTAGGAAAAAAACCAAACCCAGCACGACTGGTAGTTGGAGGAAGGATTTTCTCCCTCCATGTCCTTTCCTCTGTGCAGGATGAGTCAGTCACACTGAGCCCCTACAAAGGAAAATGTGCTACACCCTGTCTGTGCACTATGATCCAGATCAGTCTCTGCTCCTACAGGGACTGGTCCTTTCCTTCCCTGGATACATGGGAGGTGATGCTTAGCATAGACTTGTAGGACTGTTCTTTGTGCTCATGTCCTCAGCTGTCTCTGAGATCACACAGACCCTCCGCAATTTCTACAGGGTTCAGCCAAGCATTTGAAAATATACCCTTGAAGGTTTAAAATAAACAGATTAATGGATTGCAAATGAAAGTTATGTCTGAATATGTGCCAGTAGCTCCATGTCGTACCTGTGATGTAGAGCTATTATAAATGCAGCACAGGTAGCTAATAAAAATGATCATTAAATTACCCCCAGCACTTTCCTGGAGCTAAAGATGACAATTCTGGTTGATGCACCATCTCTTCAGACAGTTGGAGGTTGCTGTGTTCCCCACAGACTGCTCCTCTGGGCTTCAGAGAGAGCATCCTCCATCCTCCATCCAATACCTAGACAAGAAGTCCACCGTGCTTGTCCTCTGTAGGAGCCATGCCCTGGCTCAGTCTGCATAAATATTTGGTGAAGAACCAGGGGTGAGAGCTTACTGACAATACATTGGAGAGCAGGAAGAAGCCTGTGATTTTAGAAAGGGAAGAACCTATGGGTATGTGTGCAGGGTGGGAAAGGGAAGGATATATGCTGTGACTCTTGCCGTGAGCCAGTGCTGGATTTGCAGGCAGAGGAGGAAAGCTTTGCTAACAAGGATTGAAGCCTTGTGGCTGACTGGCTTAGGCTTCAAAAACTAAATGGTGAGAGAGTGTGTTTCCAAATGGAGATGGGAGCAGAGGGCACTGTCACTCTCTGTGAGCAAAATTACAAGGAGAGCAGATGCTGTAAGAGGAAGCTCTGTCTCAGCAGGGCACCAGAACCATTCAGAGACAGAAAGGGCAGAAAAAAAATACATCTACCGTGCATCTCGGGGAAGGGTCAAACACCACAGCAGGCTTTGTCTCACCGCAGTCAAGCTAAACCTGTACTCACCATCCTGGTTTCCCTCTGCTGCTGGGGTGAGGCACAGAACCACAGTATGACTAGGGTGGGAAGGGACCTCTGGAGTCCCCACTCCAAGCAGGATGCTGATCAATTGCTTGGCACCTTGTCCCATCCACAGTTGACAGTCTCTCAGGATGTAGATTGGCTACCTCTCTGGGACCCTGTTGTATTCTTTGATTACTCTCACAGGGCAATTTATTTTCCTAACTTCTAATCAGAACTTTCCTCCTTGCCATTGCATTTGTTGCCTCTCTGTTACTCTGCACCTCTGGGAAGTGGCTGGCTTTGTCTGGTCTGCACCCTCCTGTGAGGTAGTTGAAGAAAGAAAGGAGGTCTCCATTTAACCCTCCCCTGAAGCCTTAAACCCAGTTTCTCTCATCTTCTCCTCCTACGTCATGTGCCTGAGCTTCCTTAATCATATTGGTGGCCTTCACTGGACTCACTCCAGTACACAAGTGTCTTTCCTGTGTTTGTGAGTCTGAAATCGGACACAATTACAGGCCTGCCACAGAGACCTACCTGTTCTGGACACTCTTCTCAAGGTGGTCTGGGCTCTCCTCTATCAGATCAGCATCCTAGGGGATAGGGCTCATCATGACGGGATAGTAAAATAACATGTAATTCATATGCTGGGACTTGAATTCAGGCTTCCTCAAGCTGTGGGACCTGAAAGTCCTCCTTTCAGAGAAAGGGATGGGAGCAGGAGAATGCCACCTTGAGTCCTCCCAGCCTAGCATCCTGACTCACACATTTGGGCAGCAGCCAGGGCACAGTGAAGGGTGTGAAATGGGGGCATGCACACAGTACATCTTTTGTAGCTTGGAGACTTCTTGAACCAAAGGTAGTATCTCTGACCTGAGTAAACCTCAAGAGATTTTCCTTCTACAGATTTGTCCTATGGGGCTTCTTAACCCCTGCTGACACTGAGCAGCCACAGCAATTTGTGGCAGCAGCTTAATGCCAAGGTGAGGGAGGAAGCATCTCCCTTTTACTGATTTTACTTCTAATTTCACTTGATGCCCCTGGTCTCCTTGTCCCTCACAGCTGTGTATACTTCTGTTATATGCACCTCATATACATAGAGTCCCAGTCTATGTAGATATTAATGCAGCAGCCATTCTGGACCTCTGGTCATCCTTGCTGCCCTTCTGGGAGTTTTGGGTTTGGTTTTTTTCAGCTGTCCTGTATTCTGTTTGAGATGGATTATTCCTGAGTGGCATTAGCCCACAATGAGCCCACTGCTGCTTATTGAAAATGAGTATTGTTGTGACCCCTATGGATCATGTTACGTTCATTTTATGCAATTCCATCTGCTATTTTACTGCCTGGTGAAGGTGAGATATTTAGTCAGCCCTCTGGGACCACCTTCTTTCCCCGTCACATTCTTTTGCATTTGTCAAGACCAAGTACCCTCTCTGGTATCACAGGTCCAGCTATTTACATGTCTGATAATGTGATCACCTGCCACAGTGGCCTGCAAAAAAGCAAATAAACTCCAACACCTACACCTGAGATGACAGAAGGCTCCCTCCAAAATACTGCTCAAATGCAAGACTAACCTGAGATCTGAGCTGAGAAAAGCTTTCACTGGGGCTTGTGTGGAAGAACAAGTCTGATCAGACCACTGTCAGCCAAATGAACAAATCCAGATTTGGAGTGCTTAAGACTACATCATAACTGCTGCAATCATAAAAACCAAATTGTTGACTCAGTATACACTGACCCTGACAGGTCAACAGGATCCAAGAAACTTTATGAGAGTAAAATTCACTTGGGGGTTCTGGCTTTGGATCTGGTGGTGTCTGTCAAGTGCAGTTCAACTAGACTGCATGGCTGAATCCTCCTCAGTCACTGCCTGTCCCTGCAAACTTCTCCCCAACCCCCTGTCTGCAGATGTCACTGCCCTCCCAGGCTTGGGCATCTGCTGGGCTTGGCAATTCTCTTGGTGGACATCAGGTTATCCACATGCAGATGTGGCTCAAGCTGTAACCACCCCTTTCATGTGGACTGAGGTTTGATATACCAGTGATGACAACAGCTTAGGTCAAGGCTGAGTTACCTGATGCACACACTGTGTGTCCATGCATACTCATGTGCCCCTGTTTGGGTGGTGCACGACCCTGTTCCTGTACAGGTGATGCACACACTGTGCCAGTCCCTCTACAAAGTCACCATTCAAACACAGTGTTTACTGGGGAAGAGGAATCAGAGGTCTCCTGCACCAAGTGATCCAGGCAGCCAGCACCTGCCCTGCTGCTTGCAGCGGCATTCCTTATCTCTCCTGCTCAGGAAGGATCAGCTCA